TATTCTTCTGACTATAAGCGAAGCGATTATGATTGTATATTAAGATAATACAACAGACAAAAAGAAGAAGAAGCCTCAATACGTTTTGTATTGAGGCTCATGTATATATGACACTATTTGCGATCTAGAGAGAGAAAATGTAATACAACAGCAGAATCAAGACGGAAAAGACAATACCACATACATTTAAAGTTGACTTATAATATTAACGCAAGGCTAATTTTGTCATCTATTTATAATTCTATATAAATCAACAACAAAAGAATGCCGTTATGTATTGGAAAAAAATGAAAATTATAACTAGAATAAATGTAAAGTTAAGGTGACAAATTACCGATCAAATATGTCTTATGAATATCTATGAAATTTTTATATTATAATATATATTTGGAAACTAACGGACAATATAGTTTCTTCTTTCTATATATTTCTGTGCGAAGGAGAGGAATTAATCTGTTACGTAGATTTCTGGGTATTATTTGAACGATCGGAAGAAAACAGATTTTCTTTTATACTTATCGTACGATACTCAACGAGAATTTTAGATTGCAAAATCGAGTATAGATATTTTTTAAAAACTGTTATAAGAAAAAAAAAAGGAATTAAGTTTTTTCTTCATAATGTCACGCAAGAAGAGTGAAGGAAAATTGCTCTATAGTCAATTCAATTTAAAATAATTGAGAATACACGATGTTTATTATGTTGTGGGAGAATAAGTAGTAGAGAAAAATTTCCGTGACGGAAATCGCTATGTACAAATCGTATGTCAAAAAGAAAAAAAAAGAGAAGTTGTCTAACACAATTACTTCAGAATGAGCTACAAACGAGAGAGAAAACGAAAGAATTCTGATTAACTAGAAATGAACATGCCTACAAAAAGTATCATCAACAATGAATTATGTAACCCCTAGTCCACTTTCTCTAGAAAACTCCCCAGAGAATCACCTAACGGATTCCACAGGGGGTCCCGAGGGATTTCTCAGGGAGTTCCCAAAAACGAATAAATGCTAAATTCGACTCCTGTGCTCAATTTTAAGCGTAATTTAGCTTTTTTTCCATCGATCAAATTGAAATTTATTTAATATAAGAAAAACTACCACTTCCTTTCCAAAATTCTTTCTTAGCTGAGTCACCCAGTGAGCCTCGTCCAGCGGCTCACTCGGCTGAAAAGTTAACTTACGTCGATACGACGAGTTAGTCTCAGGCAGAAGCAGATATACTTATCGAAAAAGAAAGAAATTAATCTAAAGAAAAGAGATCTTCCTGTTTAAATTTTCGCATTTTATATACTTCTGCAGACGCAAAACAAAACAATGAATATGTTGTACGTTCTCCCTAAGAAATTCCTAGGGAGTCACCAGTGAATCACGCGGGATTACATTATTTCTCCTCACTCCCTGAAAATTAGGGAGTCACCGAGGATTTTATAGAGAATCCCTGAGATCTCCCTAGGGATTTCACGTTACTTCGAAGACTCACCAGGGATTTCACGTTTTTTGGGGGGATTCATCGGGTACTTTATTAGGAAAAATGGACTAGCCAGGTCGTTGATCCAACACTAGAACATGCCGAAAGTTGTTGGAGTTCGGTAAAATCTGGCAGCAACCATGCCGGAAACGATCCGACCGGATCCTTCGAGTTTCAGACATCGGATTTCGCTCGATTTGGCAGAATGTGATCAGTTTTCAGGTATTTTAAGGCTAAAAATAGCCTTAAATTTTTTCTTTCGTTTTCTAGTAGTTCTTTTCCTGTTCATTTGAGAGAGTGGAAGGGCCCACTAGCTAGGACGTGTACAACACGTCCGTTGAACAGTGTGAGCGATGACTCCCACCGTTAAGAATTTGAGAAGAACAACTTCTCATTTTTCATTTTCTGTAGTGTGGTATTTGAAGTGCTCCTGTCGTGAAATAAAACGGTGAATATATTAAGCGCACAGAAAAGAAAGAAAAAAAAATAAAGTCCACATCACAGGATTCGGCAATTTCCGATCACCGGAAATTAATGGATCTGACTGATTCTGGCTAACGGATCCGATCTCCGAATCCTCCAGGAACGAAATATCGGAACGCGAAGGAATTGAGCAGATTCCGATCTCCGGAGCCGATCGAACGCTCGATCTCCGGAAATCGCCAGAATTAAAAGGATCCGACAGGATCCGATCGAGAATTCAACCTGGGTAGGGACAATATGATTATATATTACTTTCAAAATACTGCAATGCAAAATAATTCGCTTTTGTGATGCTTATTTCCTATTGTGAGAGTCTAATTTGTTAGAATAAAAGTTAGAATAACGCCATGAATGAAGAATTTACGGTGTCTAAAGATATTAAGGGAATGTATAAGAATATATATGGTTGCTCGTATAAGAATTTGCTTCAGGCGTTTTTTCAACAGGTTTCAGATCTGCCGCTACGTAAAAAATTTATACATTCGTATTTTTCTTATTAAATGAAGAAAAAGTTCTGTAGATTACAGCGCCGTAATGCACCCCTATCAACTAGCGAACTCTATGCGCACGCTTAGGTGAAATCAAATATTTTCTTGATGTTTCACTTCTCTTTGAAAAATTTCTTCCTTCCCTATTGTTTAGTAGTAAGGTTTTCCTGGGCTATTCCGTACAAAAAATAGACGGAAGGTCGATGCATCAGCTGTGAAAATGGGTGACAGAAGATGATAAACTGTGGAAAACAGTCAGAAGAAAAAAATTAATGTGATAAAAGGATTCTGCAAAGCTTTCTCCGAGATACCTGTTGTTTTGTTTTTCACAGAAGCGCCAGAGTTGATCTAATTAGAGTCTTGATGAACAGTCAGTATTTTCAGATAGAGGATGTCTCTAGAATTAGTAGCAAAATTGCAAACACTAAGACTATGACTATGTGTAGTTTGAGTAGTTTAGATGAGACAACTGCTCATCTCTTAGATACTGTGCTTCTTTGTGCTGCTCTTCTTACAAAATATTTATACTCTAAGAGGTGTTGGTTGAAAACTTTTAATACTAATTGATAATGTTGTTCAAAAACTGAGAGGAATGATTGTTTGTTCATTCTTTACAACGCACGTCTTTCATCGCTCTATAAGATGAATGAAAATCAAGATGGTGTTGTTCTTCACTAATAAACTCGTTGTTGGAATAACAAGACCGGTACAGAAAACAAAATGCTTATTGATTAACAATATGAGTTTCGTTGACTATGATGCGTTTTTTTTGTGTAAACGCAATGTTCTTCTTCAAGTTGAAAACTATGCCAGGCTGCAGAAGCTATTGTTTTACAAAAATGCTTTTGGTATTTTATACCGTTAATTGCAGTCATTGCCAATAGTTGATTGTTAGTTTTATGTATTATTTTTCTTTTTCCTTTGATTTTATTTTGAATCTCATTATTTTCTATTTTGTTTCCTATTTGTTTATTTTTTAACTTGTCCACAGTTTATTACTGTGGATTTTCTTTTGTCTGTTATCGTTACTTTTATTACTGTTGTTTTGTCTGAGTCATTATTATTACAGGTCAGGAACCTGTGATGATTCCCACTTTTCGTGAGTAAGGGAATGTTAGACTGAAAATTCAGTTTTTGTTATTTAAAATGATACAAATGAATCCTTTCATATTTCTGTTTTAGATGAGTGAATGTAAATCATCTGTATGCAATGCGATTAATATTCACTTATTATAAAACAATATTTTACAAATTTCATTCGAGAATATAATTTTGATGTTGGCGCGAGTAGTGATGATAGTGAGCAGCAAAAGGTGGCATGTATAGTATCATTTCGAGTATGCTCGTTGAATTGATGAGCAGTTCCATATTAAACTGTAACTGAGCTCACTTCACTTAACATGTTTCGATTGAATGTCTGTATTATACCGGGTTAAATAGATGCAGTAATAAAAAAAAAGTCGAAAAGGAAAAAAATTTTTTCAATTCTAATGATCTAACATTTCAGAAACAAATCAACTGTTAAGACGGAAGTTATAGAGTTATACCCCCGTTACCCCCAGAGAGTCATCAACGGGTGCTGTATACTCGCATCACTGCCACCTCTTGGGAAAGGACACTAAAGAGTGTTGATTTTTCAAAAGCATTTCGTCAACTAGGCTATATTTGGGTAAATGACGACGTAGATATATTAAAAGGAGTTGCAGGCTATAGTTTTGACCCAAAATCAGTAAACTTTGGAGATGATGATAAAATGGATAGTAAGCAAGTCTCGTTGTCGAACAGCCCAATGCTGCTATGTTAACAAAAAGGACGCAATTAAAGCCAGGCACATTATTTTCTTTCTAGAAGAAGATTAAAATTAGACGATGTTAAGCACAAGGTTAGATAGTGACAAAATTTCATCAAAATCTGTGATGAAATCTTCAATTTTTTTCTTCAAGAATAATTTATAGCGAAAATTTATTTTTGCTTTTGAGTGTATCTTATCTTGGTGGTATTGTTCATACGACAAAATGCTTTCACAAAAGATTGCAAAAAGATTCCCCATAAATAACTTAAACTCTTATATTACGTTGGTTGTCTAAAAGGGTAGTATATTTTTTTGCTATTTGCGCTTGTTTATGTTGAAGTATTGATGTTACTGGACTTTGAATATGACAGTGCTATAATACGGCTTCACTCTATGTGAACATTGCCCGTATAGAATTAAATATTTTCCTTTTTTCCATTTCTGTTTTTTCGTGCCATTAAAAAACTTTAGAGTCATTACTGCTTAGTTTCATTCGTTTTTAAATATAAGTTTTCTGAGAACTATGTGGGCATTTTTCTTTATCAATTGTATTTTTGCCCTTGTTGAATCAAATGCCGACAACAGAATGAGATGTTCGTTGACAAAACTAACTAAATTGCCTAATGCATTTTGTTATTTACGGTCGGGGGTTAGATAATTCTACAGCTAGCTTATTTATGTGTACTATTACTATTTAAATTCTTATTAATTTGTTTTTGTTTTAGATTTATAAAATCTGTTGAAAACAAAGGCCTCATAATATCATCATAATGGGCGCTTATAAATATCTTCAGGAAATTTATCGTAAAAAACAAAGTGATGTTATGCGTTTTATATTTCGCATACGTACATGGCATTATCGCCAGTTAGCCGCTGTTCACCGTGCACCAAAAGCTACACGTCCAGAAAAAGCACGTCGTATGGGTTATAAAGCAAAACCGGGTTATGTTATTTATCGTGTGCGTGTTCGTCGTGGATCACGTAAGAAACCGGTGCCAAAAGGACAAGTATATGGTAAACCCAAAACACAGGGTATTAATCAATTAAAATTTCAACGATCATTACAATCGGTTGCTGAAGAACGAGTAGGACGACGTTGTTCAACACTACGTGTTCTGAATTCATATTGGGTAGCACAAGATGCGACATATAAATTTTATGAAGTTATTTTAGTCGATCCATTTCATAAAGGTAAGAAAGAAAAGGGAAATAATAGATTATTCTATTAAGAAGTATTTCTCTTTGTTTGGTAGGTGTACGACATGATCCAAGAATTAACTGGATATGTAAACCAGCTAAAAAACACCGTGAATTACGCGGTTTAACGTCAGCTGGAAGAAAATCGCGTGGACTTGGAAAAGGACATCATTATTCACAAACAACTGGTGGATCACGAAGAAAGAACTGGAAACGTCGTCAACAACTCAGTTTACGAAGATATCGTTAAGGAAGGTCGAAATAGAAAGAAACAACAACCAAACAAGAAGTTTATTCGAATTCGTTGTTTTTGTGCATATTTTCTGAAGGAAAGTTGTTGTTATTTTACATCATCGTTCTGTTGTGGTTTTAATATGTATGTGTTTTTCATGTACAAGCATCTGACATTTGTGTAAGAAAACAATAAAAACAAACATGTTTTGTGTTATTCACGTGTTATTAAAGGTCATCACCTAGTTGAAGACAAGCAATAACGATATCTACAAATAGTTAGTTTATAAAATTTTTCAAAAGCCAGTTATTTTCACCGAATAAATTATCTCTTGTAGATACATTTCAATTTTTGATCATGACTATCATCTGATGGATATAAAATAGTATTTTTTATAAAAAAGTGTTTGAACTGGGAAAAAATAAGGACAATACAATAAAAAATACAAAACTGATACATAATAAAGACTCATTTATACAATTACACTCGGAAAAAAATTAGACACTTTAAGAGAACATTCCGGTTTTAAATAGGAAAATACCAAATATATTTGAAAGATCGAACGGAAGAATCAGATTATTTTGTTTGTCGGACAAATACTGCTACTATTATATCACAGATGTCTGCTTATTATTTTTGAAATAATACACAGATAATGTAATTTTTAGTGTTACTATAAAATAATTAGAAATAACTTTGAGTACCACTTTTTTATTAATAAATTAGTCTGCTACCGTTTGGTATTCATAATCATTCTCTCATTTGACATTTGTGTACTATCACATGTCGATAGACAACTTGTCAGATTTTGTGTACTTTTCTCAATATCTAGTTTTCTTTCTGTTGTTAAATAATGTCCTTTACGTTTTCTCATACCATACACACATCGATTTATATCATTCGAATTGTATTCAAACTGAAATGTAAAATGTCGAATACAATGTATTTCAAAAATAGATTTTAATTGACGTCCAAATATTTCTGTTTGAGTACTCAGTAGTACATCTTCATCACAGACTAGATGTATTGTTGCAAATACATCTTTGGCAGTTGCTCTAGAAAAAAAATAATAATAATGAAAAGTTAACAAATATGTATCATTTCACCATATACCTCCAAACGTGAAAATTATGAACAGCTCTTATTTGTGGTATATCCTTCAAAATTGATTGCATCAATTGTTCTGTTTTTATGCCGGCCGGTACCGATTCGATTAAAATGTGACCTAGTGACCATACAACGGGCACCGCTTTGATAGCAATTACGATAACCATGACTAATGTTAAAGAGGGATCGACGTATTTTAACCAAATGTTAATATCATTCTTATTTTCATCTTTACTTGAAAAAAATAAATTAAGTAAACCAGATAGTAAAACAATCAATGATTCTAATAGAACGGCCTTTAAAAAAGAGCAAAAACATCTAAATAAAAATAAAGTTAAAAGCACCATATTACTTACAAATGAATGTAGACATAATGCATGTAACGTAGCGTATATTCTTGATTTTTCAAATAGACTATCGTCTAAACAATCAGGTTGATACGTGTACGTTGACGCTCTGCTATTTGAACGTGTATATATATTTGGAAGTTTCAGTGGATTATTATTGTCAATATTTTCGAACAATTCTATTTTTAGTTGTTGTTTTTCACCTTCATCAGTTAAATTCAATGAATATGGATCTTCTTGTTTATTTATTAGTGACTGTTCTTCTGCTATTGATTCGCGTACAATTAATTGTGGTATCATCGATTTCTCCATAAGTTTAATGTTACCAAAATCATTTGAATTAAAATAATTTTCGACAATTTCATGTTGCAATGTATCATGAACAGATCTAACAAAATCATCTTTTCGTTTTTCAACAATTTCGTATTCAATATTGTGATCATGATGGTAGCCTCTGAACATTAGCATTCCTAGAATGCCAATAGCCGCGCCAACTGATCCTAATACAATCATTACAAGTGGTTGTTCAACATGTCCTGGATTTATTATTTTATTAATAGCATCAACAATTATACTTAGCGACAGAGACAATAATAGTACTTCTTGTAATAAACCAGCTAATAATTCTAGACGAGCCCATCCAAATGTATTTCGGTGTAATTTACGTTCTTCTTGTGCAAATCTTAACGCTAAAAGAGCTCCTGCAAGTGCTATACCTTCAGCAAATGAAAATAAACCATCAGCAATTAATAATTGAGAATGTACACGAATACCAAATATTATTTCTGCCAAAGCAATAAATACAGTTAATACTAACATAATAATCATGCGACATGATTTAAATTTTAATATACGATTAATCTTTTGAAATACATCCCATGCCATTTAGCTTAAAATTAATTTCATGTGATTAGCTCTTTTATATTTTATATTAATACGTTATGATGATCTGTTCTTTGTTAACAATCATTTGTTGATACTATCATACTAAATGAAAAATCAAATTCATTAACCCTTTGTATACGGGATTATCTTTTGAAAAAATAATCTCGCAAAAGTAGCCACATTTCTGCCACTCAAGAACCACGATAGCTGGGGACTTCTAATTTTATGTGATAATAGCTCTTACCGAAGGCTGATCATCCACCAACTTTGGGACTCTTTTACTGGATGGTTCATGAGATATAAGCGATTTATCCCTTTTCCGTAAAATATCAATAGCTCCTGACCTGAGAGAGATAAAAACTTTTTCTTTTTACAAAAATGCAGCCACGACTCTACTCTATTGACGATATGAAGTTCGTGAATTGGCTGTTAGTAATCAGTGAATTGCAGCTATTTTACGGGCAAGGTTGGCTTTTTTTTTGTTGAAAATTCTAAGTTCTTTGCGAAAAAAATGCACAATTCCATCCAGGAACATCATTTTGACTTCAAATTCGCATCAAAAACCTTACAGTGTCTGTGGACTATCCAGCCAAAGTATGAAGGCTAACTATTGCGTGGTTCTGGAAATTTATTTAGAACGAGCACCCAAACATACACAGAAGAGCGAAGGTGAGGAACTAAGGGTCGCTCTTTGTACTGCAGTATTTGCATTGAATGTACATCATAATCATGAAAAAATAATCATAGAAACCTATCATTCTGAAAACGTAGGTGAAACTTTTGTCAGAAAAATTACACACTTACCTCTGATCTTCGCTATTTCACTTTTTTTTGCGTCCTTTTCACTCCCCATATATTTACAAGCAAAACTAATAACATATTTGAGATCAGCAGACAAAACTGAGTCATTCGTTTCATTGAATAAGCAACACGTAATATGTACGAAAGTCATTCAGAGCGCAAAACTTCAGGACACGAATTCGCGCCGCTCGTACTCAAAAGGTTAATTATATAGTAGTGTCAAACAAAAAACTCGTTGATTGTTTCCCATCAGAGAAGGCTATGTACATTGAGCAAATCTTTGCAGTGAGATTTTCTTTCAAAATATCTACCTTTTTCCTCGTTCTTCTTCCAATATTAGATGACTAACGGCTTATATCTCAGACTTTAACTTGATGAAAGTTCCTCAGAAAATCGGACAATTTAAAAATGTTAACATCTAGTTAAAAACTGCTAATAGTTTTATGAAAAAGGACGGCGATTAGACAGAAGAAACCATCATTATTCGATGTATTTTACGTTCTTCTTGTAGAAATTCTTACTATTAAAAAAAGTGCATCTTTTTCAAGAGTTCATCACTCACTACAAGAAATGAAATATTTAGCTTGACATCAAAATAGATAATTTTTAAGTGATATATACTCATAGTATATCTTTTTAGAACTAAAAATTGTCAATGTTGTAAAAACATAAATTCAATTCAAAAATCTTATTATCAACTAGAGTGAAGAGAATACTATATGTCAAAGAATAGGAAACTTTCGAACCAATATGTTTTTCAATTTTTCTTTGAGAAAAAAACAATAATGTTATCTTTAAATAGATTCATTACTTGTATTCTTCAATGTACAATTATAAGTACTTTTCTTTAGAGGATAAGTCACAGCATATTGGTTCATGATATAAGAGATAAAAGCGGTTGTTTCGATCGGATGGTCCAGAGTCTTGTATTTTACTTATACTTTTTTTCCTTAGACCTGATTAGTTTTCCAAAAGATACGCCGTCAAATTCTCCAGAAGACTTAATCAAACTTATTTCTATAGAAAGTTAAGGAGAAAAATCAAACGAAGAATACTCAACATGATGAAACGGACCAACTGTCTAAGCTATTTTGTTTTACAAAGTTTAGAATATTTTAAGCAACTCTAAAGATAATGAAACAAAAGTGAAGATATTTTTGAGTGCTTTGAAGTGTGCTCTTTATTCTTATGCAGTTGACAGTTCGTTCAAATCTAAATGAACACTGAAAAATCTAATATTCTAAAATTCACCTCATAGTGATCAAAATGTGCTAGCTATTATTCGGCAGGTGAATTTATAAAGAAAGCTTTAGGGTAACTTTCGCCGTTGAATCTGACACAGGTGTCATTTCTCATCAAAAAACAAAAAAAAACGAGCTAAAAAGGTGCTATTTTGGCTTCGTTATGCAGCATTTTTCAATGAGCTTCGAATCTACACTTTCAAATAGCTGGATTTTGCCAAGCCTCAAAGAGGAGAAAATCTATGTAAGCCTCAAAGATTGATTTTGCATTTATGCACCTGATACTGGTTGATAGAGCGTTTCAAGGGCTACAAAATGCATATATTCTCTTCGTTTTATCATCCAGCTCAATGAAAGTGGTTGAACAAAACGTTTTTTCGGCTTAAAGTTCAATTTCCTACGATAGGAAATCGTGAGATTCTGATAAGGTCATACAGTAGAAAATGATAGGGTTTCAACCCTAGAAAATTTTATCATTTGCCTATGCTATGCCTATGGAATGCTCCGGCTATTCTAGTTCTAATGGAACAACGAATTAAATAAGTATCAAATATATGAAATGAAGGACAAGAATGACTCATGAGTGTACTCTAGTCGAAGAATTTAATGATTTGAGTAAATTCTTACCATCAATTTGCTAGGCTAGAATTCTATAATTACTTTCTATCCTATCACACCCTTCCTGGCTTCTACTAGACTTCTATAGAAATCTTGTTATAAGAAATGACGGGTATTTTCAGATGACACCTATCACTTTCTTAGAGAAATCTTGCAAGAAGTTGTAGATTCGACAGGATCCTATAAGATTTTTGTAGAATTCTTATGAAATTCCCACAAATTCTATAGGATCCTATCATAGGATTATTCGATCTTACCTTTTATACATAATTAAAAAAATATCTTGTTGCATTCTCAAAATATTTTCTAGTTGACCATTTCTGATAATCTTATCTTAAAGATCTTACAACAAGACATTATCAAATTCTCCAAGAGCTGAAACGTTCTCGAGAAGAATCTTCTTGTAAAATCTTATCAGAAGATTTCATAAGACAACGAAAGATCGTATATGCTCTCGTAAGATAATGTCACCTTAGGCACTGAGTTATATATTTGAATAAGAAATAAATAAAAAATATATCAACATTTACCTTTTAAATTTATTAAAAGCATTATCTATATAAAAATAAATATTAGTTCAAAGAGAAAGCAGCAATTATAATGAACTTTTCTTTAGAATAACTTTTACTTAAAATAAAAACAGAGATATCGTCGATCCTCCAATTTTCTCTCTATTCTGGTGATAGAAATTAATTGTGAAACAGCGACTAATATCAGGGTAGTTCTTTAGGAAGTGTACCACCCTCTACATCAACTTTCTGCCAATCGTGACGCACAAAGGCTTTTCAAAATGCTTCCACGAAGTCCTTCGGGCGAGAGCCCAGAAGAGCTTTTGAGCAAAATTATTTTGCCATTTCAAAAAATGAAGAGTTCAAAATGCTTTTAAAAATACTATTCACCAATATGAACATCTTTTGTAGCCAAAAGACTTTTTCCCAGTGT